AATAAATTATGTCTTTGAAATGAGACAAAAATAGATTCATGATATCATCATCTATCTTTTCTTCCACATGTAGAATGATGAACGTTTCTCAAATAAAATGAGATAAAAATAAAAATAGATGCACTGACAAGACACAGATATTTCAGGTATTAGTTAGACATTGATGACTAAAGAGCTCATCTCTGATAATTCAAACTATGAGTCACTGGTTTAATTTGGGAAATTTGAAGCAATTTTTACTTTGATGAAGATTTTAATGATTTTACAACATGCATCGTGGGAAAAGTATTTTTCTCAGCATTTAAAACATATTTAATTTTTCATTTTTGACAATAAACTTATAAGCTAAGTACTCCCCCTTTGTCACTTAAAATAAGAAACCAGAACGCTGAAAAGTGGAGTCACTTCTTTGAATTCATTCTGCTGTGAGTCTGGAGAGCCAGGATTTGATTGGAATAGTCTACCTAGTCCTACAAATGATAAATTATGAGGTTATTGTTTTGTAAATGTGGCTGTATTTTCTTAGGTCTTCAAACTGTATATTTTGTATTTCTTTCTTCTTCATTTGTTTTTTTTTCATTGTAGAGCTGCAAAATATTCACTATTAATAACCACACCACAGATTCAATATTAGGCTATCTAGAAATTTCTTCTGCCAAAGAAATTGGGCCAATACTTTGAAATTTAACTTCATGAAAGTTCTTACACTGCAGGTAGACAGCAGCCAGATTATTTGCTAAAATATCCCAGCTGTTATTTAAGCCCTTGTTTTCATCTCCCTCTGGAAGATTTTGATTCAGGTGTTTACTAGAATGGCATTTAAAGCTCTGCTTAAAGCATTCAACTACTTTCCAAGGCCAAATTTCCAGCATTTTCCACATTCCTCCAAAAACCAATGTGGTCAGATTTTTCACAGCAACACCCTGATCCTGACACCAGCTTCTGTATTAGTTACTTTTCTATTGTTATGATAAAACTTCACTGCCAGGGCAACTTATACTAAGAAGAGTTTATTTGGCTAGCAGTTATAGAGGGATAAAAGTCTATCATGGTGGGGAGGCTTGGTGGCAGAAGTTACTCTAGCACAAAGCTGAGTGCTCACATCTTCAAGCAGGCACAGGAAAGAGCTAGACAAACTGCTTATACGATAGGGCTAAAATCTCTCAAAGCCTTCCCCCAGGGATGTGCTTCCTTTCATCAAGGCCATGCCTCTTAAAACTACAATAAGTGCCACCTACTGGAGCCAATTATTCAAATTCTTGGAGCCTATGGGGGGCATGTTTTCATTCAAACCGTCATAGCCATTTTTAAAAATAGTGTAAAAATCTCTATGGACATGGAACAAAAGATGTGTAGTGAGGATGTCTGAAAGAGTCATAGGGAAATTTATTATTTTATAAGCATACTTATTGTGCCTCTGTGTGTGTGTGTGTGTGTGTGTGTGTGTGTGTGTTTGTGTAGCCATAGGCTTTCTAAATGAAACCACAGTGCCAGGCATGGGAAACCTCCCTTTAGTTGTTTGCCAAAACAATATAGCTAGTGCCTTTGTCCTTGGGTGCCTCCCAGAACTTGAATGTAAGACCCTATTGCTGAAGACAACACACACTTCCGACACAGGATTTAGAGGAACTAATCCTCAACTGACCTAGAATCCTTCTCCCTGAGGACTAACTCTCATAGTATTGGAAGATGCTATGCAAACTTCCAAGAGAAAAACAATTAGCAGTCTTTTCCCATGAATTACAACAATAATCAGCCCAGAAAACACCATTAATGGTTCAATAGTGACACTTTTACCTTGGGGTAACAAACACCTGTGTAATTGGACTTAAGGACTACTCAATAGGAAGAAATTCATTGCTGGAACTATAAGCCTTGCCAAGTACCTGTAGGGGTAATAAGACCTAGAGGAGAACTTTCTACTGCTACTTTCCTAAAACAATATAATTTTCAACTGAATTCTAAATATTTATCCTTATACCTACAGATAACTGTAGCTCCTGCCACTCACCACAGAAACTTGTTTTTGCAACAGATGGAGACTCTTACAGAGTTCCATAAATGGTCAAAATGCAGAGACTAAGTGCCAGTAGGTGCTAAGTCCTTGTTGACACCAACAATGCAACCTCCCACACTTAAGGCTCATGGAACATCATGGAAGAGGGGGCAGAAAGATTATAAGAGCCAGAGAACCAAGACACCTGCTGCTACATAGTGTCTTTTAGAAGTGACAGGGAAGCTGCACCTATGAAATCTCAACAATATGATTTCTTAAAAAAGACCTACACAATGACAATACCATTTGATACACTTACACGATGGGGGAAATTTAACAAGGTTGCACCTTGTGATAATGAGGAGTTACAGGCAAGTAATGGCTGCTGAAAGAGGGAGAATTAGTTTTCTCCAGGGTCCAGTAATTTGACAAGTTATGCAATCCCAAGTGGTCATCCGTAAACATATGTACGTATGAGCAACACTAAATGGATTTAGTAGGTTCTATATGTGTACATACACACACAATTATACATATATGTGTAAAAATCATAAATAAGAAGAGGTCATGAATATGAGAGGGAGTAAGGGAAAATGGGAGGAGTTGGAGAGGGAAGAGGGAGGGAAAGATATGATGTAAATATAGTACTCACATATCAAATCCTCAAAAAATAAAAATAAAGAACATATGTTGTAAGAAGTGAAAAGTGTCAGCCATTGGGCAAGGGGGACAATGATTATTATGATTCCATTTGCATGTTCTCAAAAAGACAAACACTCCTCTAATATCGTGGGTGACAAAAGCTCACCTTAGCACCTGCCACCAGGACCTGAGGAACTTTATGGGCTTAGCCAGGAGGCTAAAAGTCACTTAATACTAGTATAGTCTATGCCCTGTCCTAATCTACTTTTGGGGCTAGCATGATGAAACAGAAAGAAGTATGCATGGCCACACTATAGACTCTGATCAAAGCCAAAACTGGTGTAGTACACCTGCCTTCTTTCTGTGGATAAAAAGCCTCATGGTATCTGGACCTGAAGCCAGCGACATGTTAGAGTTGTCCACAAAAATGGAAGGTGTGCATAGGTTAAAAATGAAGATACAAGCATGTGCATCAAAGAGCTCATACTGGAAATAAAATACAACCTTCCAAATTCATGTTCCCCAGCAGAGGGTAGACCATTGATTTCATGGAGGGTAGGCAGTAAGAGCAATGGACATGGGATAGGGGTGAAAGCCTTGTTTTACTGGATTTTGTTGAAGAGATGAGAATTTAAAAAGCTAAGGGTGTGATGCCAGTTAGATTGGCCATGTTCCAGGGGATGGACTCATACCCAAGAGTATTTGGGGAACACAAATTACACTCAATAGGTCTTAAAAAATAAGAAGACATGGAGTAGGGACTGCGTAGGAAGGAGAGGGTGGATCTGAGAGAAGATCAGGGAGGGGTCTGAATATGATCAAATATATTGTGTGATATTATCAAAGAATCAATAAAGGTTTTAAAAGGAAGTTAATAGAAAGAAGTGATAGAGCCAGAGAGATGGCTCAGTAGGTTAAAGAGCACTCATTGTTCTTGAAGAGGACCCGGGTTTGATTCCCAGGATCCACATGCTGCTAACAACCACCCCTAATTCCAGTTTCAGGGGAATCTGATGTCCACTTCTAACCTCTGTGGGCATTGCATGACATTGGTGCACTTATATACATGCAGGCAATGCACTCATACACATAAAATAAAAATAATAAAATATCTTAGAGTGAATATTTTTATCAAGTTTTCATGTATTTCATATAATAGATCTTAATCAAATTTAGACCCTCCCATCCTTGACCCTCCCCAACATCCTCCAGCCAATGAATTTTATGCATTTGTCATATATGTTGAGTCCTATCCAGTCAGGCATTTGTACCTAGATGTCCTTCAGTGCACTGGACTCTAGATTACCTATCTAGAGCCAGCCTATCTAAAGATCTTGAAGATCTCTCTCACACCCAGCAGTAATCAGTTCCCAATAGTTCCTAGGCTAGGGTTGGGACCTGCTGTCCATTTCCTGCCTTCTATGCTGTTTTTTTTTTTTTTCTGATTAAGTTGGCGTAGGTCTTGTGCATGCTGTCATCATTGTTGCAAGTTCATAGGAGCATGTTCTCAGTGGCCTGAAAGCCTCTCTTTCCTTATGTTCATGCACCAACCCTGGGTCTTACAATCTTTCTGCCCCCTCTTCCACAACAGTTCCTGAGCCATGGATGAGTGAGGTTCGATAGCACAGTTCTTGCAGAGGACCACGGTTCAATTCCCAGCACCCACATGGTGCTAACAACTATCCCCAACTCCAGTTCCAGGGGCATCTGATGCTCTCTTCTGACTTCTGTGAGCATTGCACAACATGGGTGCACTGACATACATGCAGGTTATATGCTCATACACACAAAATAAAAGTAATAAATTTTTTAGAAAGAGGTGACAATGAGGCTTTCACACAAAAATCTGTACAGAAAATGTAGAAATAGAGATAATAAAAATGATTACATTAGTATTGCAATGTAAATATCTGATAATAGAATTTAAAGTGAAAAGCACTGAGGTTAAAAGAAGTAATATGCAATGAGAAAAGTAAAAATAACCCAAAATATAAATTTTATGATTAAATTAATGTATTCTGTAAATATGAAAATTACAGGAAAGGGCTGGAGAGATGGGTCAGTGGTTAAGAGCACTGACTGCTCTTGCAGAAGACCCAGGCTCAATTCCCAGCACCCTTATGGCAGCTGTGAACTGTCCTTAACTCCAGTTCCAGGGGAATAAGAAGCCCTCTTCTGACCTCCATGGCATTTCATAACACAGGTGCACTCACATACATGCAGGCAATACACTCATACACATAACATAAAAATAACAGTAAATAATTTTCTCTTAATTACAGGAAAAAGTAACAAAATTTAATGTCACATTGAGACTTTAAAAATATTTTTCAGAAATCTGTTCATTAAAAATCTTGAAAGTATGCCCCCTTTCACTTTGTCAACTGGACTTATGTCTTCATTTGCCATTCAAGTGGAGCAAAGGAAATAACCTTTTAAAACTCAGGCAAGCTTCCTGTTCATCTTGTAACCTGTCAGGCGAAACATTGAAAACGTTAGTTTGAAAATAGTCTTCAGTGACACAAAAGCACAATTAAGTTTGACCGAAGAAATATACACATGGGACTGGGGAGAGGCCTCAGTAGTTAAGAGCACTTATTGTTCCTCCATGGGACCTGGGTCCAGTACCCAACACCCACACGGTGACTAAGACTCTTTCTTAACTCCAGTTCCAAGAGATCTGACACCCTCTTCTGGCCTCTGCAAGCACCAGGCATGAATGTGATGCACTTGCATACATATAGGCAAGACACTCATATACATAAAATAAAAATAAATAAAAATCTTTTTTAAAAGAAATATATATAAAAAGGGGGAGGGAAGGACAGAAGAGAGAAAGAGAGAGAGAGGAAGAGAAGAAAAATTAGTGTAATCAGTACAATGCAGATGGTATTTTCTGGTCAATGTAAAGTTGAATCCTAAATCAGTAATAAAATGTAGTTTAAAACTATACCAACATGCATTTTGTATTCAAAAAGCAAAAATATTTGTTACTCATATAATTAAACAAATAACGGAAGACAACTCTTCTTTCTTGTTGACTTGTGCTTGCAGTCCTTAAGGGTTTTTCCAAATCGAGGAAGGAACAAAAATCAAATAAAACTGGCGAAAAAAAAAAAAAAAAATTCCCACAGTCATTCCCACATCCTTAAATTCTTAATGAGAATGCTTTAAAGCAATATAATGAATACTACAGACTTAGTTTAACATCAGCTTTCTCATCTAGGACTCTGGGTGCGATTATGGTATAGGTATTTCCAGACTTTTGTTAGAAATTTTTTTGTCATATGAATTGTGTACTTCCCAATAACTGAATATTTAGATAATTTTATGAAACTAGAATATATGGCAGCAGAGATTTCTGAAGAAAGACAGGAACTTCAGAAGCCACATAAGGCAGCATTACTTGAGTGTGGAAAGATTTTTTGAAAAGGATATATATTTAATAAATAAGATCTACAGGCATTTTGTAGTATAGAGGATATCTTTGCTGGTGATATTGCATATAGCCAAAATGAAAGAACAAACAAATGCAGAAAAGGCATTAGTAGATGATTTCTAAGAGTACTTATCTACATAGTAAATTTTTGTACTTAGAATAACGTAAATTAAAAATGAGATTAAAATTAAGGCTAGGAATCATTGCAGAAGAGAGGGTGGAAAGGCTGTAAAATTCTGAGGTGGTGGATGATTACAAAGAAATAGTGTTTTCCAGACAGCAGAGCTATTACACACATGAACACACTGCACTTTCGACAATCTATGCGAGCTCAAACATGACAAAATTCCAGCATGAAGCAGGTGTGGGGAGGTAGGCAAGAAGCCCCAAGCCGGACTGCGGAGATGGCTCAGCGGTTAAGAGCACTGACTGCTCTTGCAGAAGACCCAGGCTGAATTCCCAGCATCCGCATGGTGGCTGCGAACTGCCCTTAACTCCAGTTCCAGGGGAATCTGAAGCCCTCTTCTGACGTCTGCGGCATTGCATGACACAGGTGCACTCACATACATGCAGACAATACACTCATACACATAAAATAAAAATAATAAAATAAAATTAATAAAAGGAAGTCCCAAGTCTATCCAAGGAATAATTGGCAATTGAAAGCTGCTGGGAGAAGAGATCAAGGATGTGACACCTGGTAGGTTGGCTGGGCTACGGGGGATGGACCCGCACCCAAGAGGATTTGGGGACCTCAATTCAGCTTGACAGAACTTAAAAAATAATAATAGAGGACATGAAGTTGAAGGGACAGTAGTAAGGTGGGGTGGAGATGGGAGAGAATGTCTGAATATGATCAAAGTACATTTAATGAAATTCTCAAAAGAATCAATAAAAATATTCAAAAAAATTCACCTACATGACTGACAAAGCTTGAAAACAGCAGTTGCACCTCTGGTAGGCCTACATCAATAGGTAAATGCTGACATAAATTAGATTAATCCATTCCAATTAAACAGCCCTATAAACTTTAAATAAACAGCATATATATTTTCCGTAGGTAACGTTATGTGTACTACTGCTTAAGTAATTATCTTTGCTAATGTCTGTGCTAAGAACTAAATATTTGTATTTTCACCACAATTCATATGCCAAAATTCACATCCCCAATTTGATTGAGGATTCAACTTTTGGGAAGTCATGAGGTCATGAGGATGGAGTCCTGACGCTAGGATTTGCACCCTTGTAAGGAAACAGGATGGAGTTTCCCTTCTGATCTCTCATCTCTGCCAATTTCTCATCGCTGGAATTTTCAGTCCACCTTCAACTATTAATGCACAGGTAATTCTGTCTATTCTAGTGCTGTTTGACTTACAGCTAAACTGGTTTCAGGTAGCCCTGGCTGGTACAATTAGTGACTCTCCTTTTCAATAAATATGCATGTTTCCCTTCTACAGGGCATGTTCTATCAGAAGGTGGTTGAGCCTCTGCTAATAATGTACAACCCTCAAAGAGACTAAACTTGTCAAAAAATATACTCTCTCACCCCATCATGGGGTATAGGTCCTTGGACCCTGCCAGACAGACCTTGAGGGAAGGGAGCCTGGTAAGGGGAAAAGGAAAGTATGAGACAAGTACCTACAACAGATGTTCTTTAAAATGAATTCAGCTATAGATCCCAGGGGCACTAGGCAAAGCAGTAAGTTTAGGCTTTTAAATGAATGACTATGAAAATCAAGATATTAAAATGCAAACTAGAAATTTCTATCATTGGAATATATCTGGGAATTGTAGGTGTCTTGACCTGAGTTGCTAGCTCAGAATAAAGATGTGGCTCTGCAATAGAGTACTTGCCTAATATGCACAAGGCCAAGCTCCATCCCTAGCAACACACACACATACACACAAACACATTCAAAGAGAAGGGCTCAAAGGATCGGAGGCCACAGCATCTCCTTCCCTGTAACATTGCTAAAGTCAGCTTCAGGCTCAACTGTGAGAATATTTTAGGTCAAGTATGTTGGCATCTCTGCTAGGCCAATGATGACTACTACTAAGACAGGTAAACAAGTTGCAAAGAAATGTCTATGATATAAAGTGCAGTCTTTTTAAATTTTTATTTTATATATATGAGTGTTATATCTGTATTTGTGTAAGTGCACCATCTTGTCAGTGCCCGTGGAGGACAGAAGAGGGTGTCAGATCCCCTGGAACTGGAGTTACAGATGTGTTTTCTGCCATGTGGGTGCTGCGAATTGGACCTAGATCCTCTACAAGAGCAGCCAGTGCTCTTGACAACTGAGCCATCTCTCTAGCTCCTAAAATATCTTTAAAAAAGGCAAATTAACAGTAAACTTTATACTACATGAACATATGTTTGTGTATTTTAGGAAGGTGCAGTCTTTAGTTTCAATTACTCACTAAGGACAGTGATTAAAATGGAAAATTTGGGGATACCATTTTGACTTTCTCCATATGATCTTTGCAATGTTTTACCTTTTCCTATATGGAAGTATTATTTTGGTAATTTTGGAAAATAGTTTAGTAAAGCATATTTTAAATTAGTGCCTATTTATTCCCTTGAAAGATTAGAAATAAATTCTGCCTCAAAACAAGCCTCTTTGGCATAAAGATTATTTTAAGCTAAAGGCACTTGAAAAACAGCAGGTCTGAAAGGGACAGGGACTCAAGCCTGGGAAAACCTGTAGAAACAGACTTAGCTAAAACACCCTTGCTTGTCCTCTGGCCTCTGCATATTCAGTTACTTTCTCATTGGTACTCTTTGTTCAGGCTGCTGTAGCAGTGTTTACATGTTGCCGCTTCTTTGTTCTTGCTATGTGCTTTGATATGCACATAAAATATGTAATTTTCTCCTCTCAGTCTATCCTGGATCACTTTAATTCTCAGATCCAAATGCAGACTCTAAAGAGTAGAGGGAGAGATCTGATTCCCCCACACTTTGCAGGTAGGGAAAGAAAATCACTTGACCACGGTTGAAGCTGGGCTGCATGGAGTCTTTTTCCTATAACTGGTGTATGTAATAGAGTCTTATAAAAAACAATAACTTTTGAAACGCAGCCTATACTTCGGTTTAGACTTTGCCTTGCACATCCAGTTACAGTATCTGAAGTGGTACTTTCTCTGTCATGGGGAAACTTACCTGAGTAATCTTATTTTGAGGAACAAAGGAAGGTTAGATTGCTCTGAGAGAAATTTGTTCCCCGGACATTATTTTTATTATTACATTGTTTCCAAGATAGTAAACATAATTTCATTATTCTATGCCTAATATTGGCATGAAAATGGATTTGAGGGAGTAAGATACAAGGTGCTTCAATTGAAGACTAAAATTCCGTTACTATTCTAATTCCAAAGGGATGGTGATGTACCTCCTTAATAATTGCCAGCACACACGTAAACCTCAGAACACAGATTTATAAATATAAAATTCCATCCAAATACCATTTTTTTCTGTATGTAAGAGCCTTTAGAGAAAAGGAAACACTGAATAATCAAAAATTGAAATATGTTTTCAAAAGTGAAAGTTCTTTAAGATTTTATGTAGTGTTATGTAATATTTATCTCTGTTCTGTGTGCGTCTCTGGAGAAAGATTTTACCTCTTGGTACTATGGGAAATTGGAGGAAACATAAAAGAAAATAAAGGTCTTAAAAGATGCAATTTGCTGGTTAGCTCCAGCTTTTTAGGCTCTGCTTAACAGTCTGTGGAGAATGGAACTTGAACTGAACAGCAAGCGGGCATATTTTACTAGCTTTCCAAGAGTGACAGGTGCAAAGAAGCTTGAGGAAAAAGCATTCATTATGGACTAGGTTAAAATTAGGTACTTAAAACTCGTCCTCTAATTTAGGTCATTTATCATTCTCCTCAAAGCCCCTTTTGTACAGGGAATGCTGCAACGTTTACTTTACTATTAGCTCATCTCAGCTGCTGCAGGATCACTCAAAGCAGATGTTTCACAGACTGAGAGCCTGGCTGATTCTAACAGAAATGTGGTAACTGCAAGTCAGTTCTTGGCAGTTCCAGCAGTGCA